AGTGTCCTTACTCAAATTCCTGTTGTCCGTTTCCTATCCAATGGTTTTCTCAGTGTTCCCTGCCTGGTGGCACTTACACGGGTGCCCTCACACAACAGCCTCTGCTCCAGCAGGATCCTGGATCCAACAGGATCCGAATAGTCAAGGTCAACTTCCCACCAACCCACTAGCCTCTGGCTGGTCTGCAGAGTTCACAGAAGCCAGCTGGCTGGCTCGTTTTGGGTGGGAATCCAAGAGAGCTTGGCCAATTTCCCCACCTGTGGGCATGCCCTTAGGTGCTCTCCCAGATAATCAGCTGTAGTAAACACAGATAAGATCCTACAAGCCTTTCTTCTGCCAGGTTAGTTCCACAACAGCTCAGTTGATAGCTCTGGCTTATGTCTAGATCCATGGTGGTGCCCTGAGGTCACAGGGCTGTGGTGGGGGCTGAGGTGCATGGTTTGGAGCTGGAAGGAGGGTGGGGGAAGGGGAGGAAAGCAAGGGACTAGGGGGGTAAGGAGCACAGGGCTTGGACACTACCACCAAGAGTTAGGGGCGGGGCTTGGGCGCTGCTGTTTGATTATGCAGCAGCACCCTGTGTGTTGGGGGGGTCGCACAGTGGCAGGTAGTCTTTGCTCCTCTGGAGTTCCGCGGTGGATGGCTGACTATTGCTCTTCCTGGGTCTCTTCCCGGCCCGTCTGGCAGCGGAACTTGTCTCTGGTGGCGGAACTCCGTCTCTGGCTGGCCATTTACTTTCTAAAGAATGTCTTGGTAATTGCACTGCCAATGAAATAGTATTGTGGCCCACTCTAGAGAGGTCCAGCTTGATTTTAAGATGTGACATTCTCCACCTTATCAAACATGCACATCTTAATGCACAGAAACTTATATTTTTTTCTTGATTAATGTGTATGGAGGTAACCCTTACAGAAAGTGCAAACAAACAGAAATGAAGTACTCCAGGATGTTGGAAAAGTTCTTAGATGGGAAAACACAAAACACGTATAGTTTTATAATTTATGGATCTATCTACTAACCAGACTTCACTATTTCTTAATTTATACTGAGATCAAGTAGTACTACAAAATAATTTGTTTTAGATCTCTTTAAAATATCTTTTCGGTAGTGAATTAATGTATAATGTGTGGGACTGCTAATTGAAATGTCAGTGGTTTGAATCCACAAGTGGGAGAAAGATAGATGTTTTCAGATTTCTTTGCAGGGTTGCTTCCAAATAGGACTAATACTTCAAGCTATAACTTAGTGGACCATATTCTAGAATCTGTTTCTGTGTTATCTATTATTGTGAGAGGACCTTCATTACAACAACTTTTATAACTTCACAGGCATGATCTACACCTTAAATCACAATGTTGAACCTGATAGGATTTACCACTTCTTAAGGGAACCAAACCCCTTTTTCCTGGGCAACTGGAAAGTTGTCCCCTTATCCTCAATGGAGGAGTCACATCTTTGTGTCTGGCTGTTTGACCTCAAGGACCATGGACTTCACCCCTATAGGAAAAGATCCAGGGTGCACTAGGATGAGTGGACACTTTCTGTGAGTTGGAGACATTCTTTAGAACTAGGAGACCACTTTGTGGTCACCAACATGGTTGCCTTTAGGTGTGACTCTCACCAATTTGGAACAATACCACAGTTAGGAAAAAAAAGAGCATTATTTTTAATGAACCAAAATAGAGAGCAGTATCCAATCCCAGATCCTGTCAGTTCTCTGGAAATGGTATGCCATTTTTATGGTTTCTGTAAAACCAAGGAGAGTATTCACCTTCATTCCCCTCAGGGAGCATCCTGGCTGTTGTTAGGTGTCATTGAATTGTGTATGACTCTTAGCAACCCTATGAACAACAGATCCGAACCCTAGTGTGGTAGAGATGATGAGGGTAGCACTGGTTAGGGCAAAGTTCAGATCTGATGTTTATAAGATCACTGTGAGTAATATTTAGCTTGATGGCACTAAACAAGAGCAACATCAACTATAATGTTGTTCATTCCTAAAACTATCAGCATTAATTCCTTCATTAAATTCCTTTATTTTTGTGAAATCTAGACCCATTTCTATTTTCCTTAATAAATCACCTATTGATACATTATTAATACAAAACAGTCATAGATGACAAGAGGGTGAATCTTTTGGATAACCTAGGCTGCCGATTCTAAATGTTTATCTTTGATGTTGTCATAAAAAAGAGGAGAACAAATTTTGTACCATAGTAATAGGATTTATGGAGTAAGTTTGGGAGACCTCAGAATAAATGCTGAGAGTTTAAAAGGACAATTAAGTTTGTAAATACTTAGAGAAGAGTTCAGGATAGGGAGAATAGATTCTAATTGAAGGAGGATGTGGAATTGAAAACATGTTGGTAGCAATTCCACTACTGGGAATATACCCCGAAGAGACCATAACTGTCATCCACGCAGATATATGCACACCCATGTTTATTGCAGCTTTGTTCACAATAGCAAGGAGTTGGAAACAACCTAAGTGCCCATCAACGAACGAATGAATAGAGAAGCTGTGGTATATTCACACAATGGACTACTATGCTACATTGAAAAACAAGGAACTCATGCAATATTATTCAAAATGGTTGACTCTGGAGAACATTATGCTGAGTGAAATATCCCAGTAACAAAAGGACAAATATTGCATTGTACCACTGTTGTAGAACGGGAATGATCTTGGGGTTGGGGAGAGACTGAGTAAGATGGGTTCAATAATGTATACTGCACTGAAACAGAGGAGGGAGAAAACTGTTTAAAAGAGATATGTGATTAGGTATTTCTGTCATGACAGGAGTCTAGAGCGATGGCTACATGGTAGAGTGGACCTGCGGGAGGGTTTGTAAAACAATGAAAGAATCTTTTCTTTTACTTTTCTAAGAGGGTAGTGTTCTGGGGTGGGGGGTAGCCTTGGGAGGGAACAAATCTACAACAATGAATGAATGGAAATCCAAAGCCTCTGTACATTTTCACTGAAATTAATAATAAATTTAAATTTAAAAAAAAGAATTAAGTTAGAGTAAGGATGGCAATGGATTTATAACTGCTCAAGCTAATAACACTATATAGTGGCATGGAGGAGGAATAGTGGAAATGTATCCACATTTACAACATTCCTCTTACTAAAACCATTTATGGAAAATAGGTACTGCATTGGAACATGTATCTCTGGATTGGAAATTATGATATTGTTAATACTTCTAGCCTTAAGCTTAAAAGATTATAATGTTCAAAATTATTTTTTATACATTTGCTTAAATTTTTCCCTCTTTTAACAACTAGGATCTAGAGGGAAGAGAAAAGACCAGAGAATGGCCAAAATTATTAGGGCAGCTATTGCTGCCAGTTTAGGGCCTGTGTCAGGAAAAGGAAGTCTTACTCATATACAATGCCACCCAAAGGTAATAAAGGAGATCAGAATTGCTTCCACTGTGGAAAGCTGGGCCACTTCAGTAGACAGTGTCACAGACGAGAGCTACAGATAGACAAGGGAGTACAGAGGAAGCTCCCACTCACTTGCTTTAAGTGTGGCTCTGAAGGACACCTGGCCAAGGTGGCCCACATCAGGTCCTTGTTCATGGCAGACAGGACTGACAGGCCCCAGCTCCAAGCTGGAAGCAAAGGAGGACGCTTCAACAATTTAGACCCTCCCAGAAGAGCTGTGGGTAAGCATTAACGTTACTGGTAAGTAAATTCATTTTCTCCTGGACACAGAGCCTAATAATTGGTCCTAAAAGCCTTCTGAGGTCCCAACTCTTCTCACTATTTCTTAGTTGTTGGCATGGATGGAAAACCTCTAAGCAGTTCCTTACTTTACCTCTACCTTGCATGTGAACTTCCGAGTTGTAAAACAATCCAGTGGTAGATGGAATTTCCTCCAGCACTTAAGAACCATAAATGACATAGCTGAGCCTCTACATCTTGTGGTTCCTAACCTCTACACTATAATAGATAATGTGCTAGTCTATACGCCTTTTATTGTAAGAACCAGCTTACCTCTGTAACTTGATTTGTGCCACTATTAGAACCTCTACTCAGAATATTATTGCTTTTCAATTTTTGACTCATGCACTTTTAACTTGTTAGTTAAATTTGTATCTTCAAGGCTGCAACACTTCAATGATACATCTTCAAGGATGTGTACATGTACGGCTAAGCACAATTGATAAGAGTGCATCTGAATTCCAAAATCAATCTCCATAATAGTCTATGTGTTTCCTACTGCCAAAGGGGCCCTTTAGAGTAGTGAGAGAAGATCTTCACCCTGAAACCCACAGCGTCCCTTTTCAGCAGGAAGTAGCTAAGAGAATACGCCATCCTCCTTTCCTTATGAATCAGGGTGAAGTCTCTCTCAGGAAGGAGAGATAGGGAATGGCAAAGGACACACTGACAAAGGAGATTAATCAGAACTGGCTTCGGCAAGCACTATGGCACTTGGACAATTAAAACAGATATTCGGGCTGGGGGGTGGGGGGAGAAGAATGAACTGGGGAGGAGGGTAGAGAAAACAGTGCAACAATGAATGAATGAAAACCTAAAATCTCTGTAAATGTTCACTAAAACTAATAAAATTTAATTAAAAAAAAAGAAAACATGTTGGTTACAATTAGTAAGACACCAAAGGAAAGTGGATAAGACAGAAAGAAGTCAGTTACAATGTAGAAAAGTAGTTGTTTCTCATCCATAGCTGATATTTCCTCTAGTATCTTTAACAATTCACTTTTAAAATTGAGAAAGAATAATAACATTTACATCAGCACAACTTCCGTCTCAGTGTTTTCTGCATGGCAGCCTTCACTTCCTTGTTTCTCAGACTGTATATTAGGGGGTTCAGCATGGGGATTACTGTGGTGTAAAACACAGAAGCTACATTTTCCTGAGCCAAGGAACTTGCTGTGGAAGGTTTCAGATACATGAATGCAGTAGATCCATAGAACATCCCCACTGCTGTAAGGTGGGAGCTGCAGGTGCTGAAGGCTTTGGACCTACCCTCTGTGCTGCTGATGCGAAGGATGCTGGAGAGGATGAAGCCATAGGAAATAAGGACTGTTAAGCTGGTAACTATGATGTTGAATCCAGCTAAAAAGAAAACTGTCATCTCAATATCGTATGTGCTAGAGCAGGAGAGCTTCATGAGAGGAAGGATATCACAGAAGTAATGACTAAGATAGATCTCACAATAGGACAGTTTTAACATGAGGCCAGTCTCTATTGTTGAGCCAATGAACCCCATGGCATAGACCACAGCCACAAGCAGGAAGCAGATTTGATGTGACATGATGATGTTATAAAGCAAAGGGCTGCAGATGGCAACGTAGCGGTCGTAAGCCATCACTGTCAGCATGTAGCACTCGGCAATGACAAAAACAAGGAAAAAGTAGAGCTGTGACATGCACCCTGTATAAGATATGTTGTTTTTCTCTGACACAAAGTTCACCAGCATTTTAGGGGTGATGACAGAGGAATAGCACATGTCTACAAATGACAAATTTCTGAGGAAGTAATACATGGGAGTGTGAAGCTGGGAATTCAGGTGAATGAGTATGATCAAACCCAGGTTCCCTACCATGGTGACTATGTAGACCCCTAAGAAGAGGAAAAAGAGAGGAAGCTGGAGCTCTGGCCGATTTGTTAATCCTCCTAGGACGAACTCTGTCACAGTAGAGTGATTCTCTGCAGCCATGGAGTTGAAATCCTGTGGGGCTGGGAAAGAAGAGCCTCATGAAAGAATGTAATTCTACTTAGGGAATCTAGTTTTTTTTTTTTTTTTGCATGTCAGTCTACTTTTTATTGTAAGGGAATCTAGTTTTGAACATTTGTCTCAGATATAGAGACTTTGGGCTCGTCTAAAAATGTAGATAACACAACATAGGCCAATTTAATATTTTAATGTGCATATGTCTGAGAGACATCAATCATGTGCAACCATTACCAGTAGCCATTGGCAAAATTTTTGTCACCATAAACAAAAAATACATTCTGAGGACTACTTTTTCTTTTGTTCTTCACTCTTGTTTATAGTAACCACTGCTAAACTATACATTTCCCTAATATATATTGTAATTGTGAACTCATGCTGTATTTGTTATTATTGTCTAACTAGTTTATTCCATTCAGGCCAATATCTATTTTAACTGTCCATTCATGTTATGGTATAGATAAGAAGAGTTAATATTATCAAGAAATAAATATCACCTAACACTATCTAGAAATGAAACACAGTAACCAGCAGAATTATAATAGTCATCTTTGCAGAAATGGACAAAGCTATTCTCAAATCTGCATAGAAACGATTAGAGTCTCAAATAACGAAAACAATCCTGGAGAAGAACAACAGTGTAGAAAGACTCGGGCTTCCTAATTAAAAGAGTCTGGCACTTGTAGGATTATGGACTTAATAGAAATGAGGATGGTGAGACTTATCTCACATGCTTTGGACAACACATGATGAGAATGGATAAATCCTTGGAGAATGACTTTAGGTAGAGGGTTGTTGAAAAATAGGAAGATCATCCATAGAGTGGCTGAAAAATAACAATGATTGCCAGGATGATGCAGGACTGGATAATGTTCTATTCTGTCCTACATAGGCTTGGTGTGAGTCGGAACTGATTCACCAGTACCTAATAATAACAACAACAGAGGAAAGAAATGGTCGATATCACACCAAAGAGTTGGAAACAACCTAAATGCCCATCAACAAACGAATGGATAAAGAAGATATTCAAACAAAAGAATACTACACTGCATTGAAAAACAAGGAACTCATGAAATATTATTCAAAATGGGTGACGCTGGAGGACATTATGCTGAGTGAAATATCTCAGTCACAAAAGGACAAATAATGCATAGTGCCACTGTTGTAAATCAGGACTGACATCGGAGTATAACCTGGAGTATTTAAAAAGTATTGAAGCCTAGATTCCCCCAGAAATCATTATTTAATGAATTATTATGTTATACTACATGGACATTGACAAATAGTCTTGTCCATACTAAATATTCAATCAGTATTTATTGTAACATTAAAATTAAACTAAAATTGTTGTTGTTGTTGTTATGTGCCGTCGAGTCACCTGCGACTCATAGTGACCCTATGTGCAACAGCCCTAAACCCTGCTCTGTCCTGTGCCAGTCCCACTGTCTCTGACTCACCTACCCCGATTACCCCACTCACTGACTCAATCCACCTCAGAAAGGGCATTCCTGTCTTGCGCTGTCCCTCCACCCTCCCAAGAATGATGTTCTTCTTCAAGGACTGATCCCTTCATGCAACATGTCCAAAACATGTCAGATGAAGTTTCAGAATCCTTGCCTCCAAGGAGTAGCGTGGTTTAACCTTTCAAGGATGAACCTGTTTGTTTTCTTAGCAGCCCATGGTACATTCAATATTCTTCTACAACACCACAGCTCAAAGACATCAATTCTTCTATCCTCCCTAGTCATTGTCCAGCTCTCTGATGCATAGCAAGTGATTACAAAGACCATGGCCTGGATCAGATGCACTTTAGTCTCCAGAGTGACACCACTGCTCTTTAGTATTTTGGAGAGGTCCCTAACAGCAGACTTTCCCATCACAATGTTATTGTTATGTGGTGTCGAGTTGTTTGCGACTCATAGCAACCCTATGTACAACAGCCCTAAACCCTGCTCTATCCTGTGCCAATCACATTGCCTCTGACACACCCATCCCGATTACCTCAGTCATTGAATCAATCCACCTCATAGAGGGTCTTCCCCTCCTG